GATTGAAGCCTCGCTCCAAACCAACTCTGGAAAGCATCTGTGTCTGGGGGGGGAAACCACAGCCACAAACGAACCGAGGTGCCGCGGTCCGTTGCTTTTAAACGGGCGAGGGATGAGGTGCCAACCGGGCTGACGTTCAGCTGGGCCACCAGTTCATCAGTCTCTTGTGCCACAGCACTTGCTGCCCCGGCACACACCCAGTTAGGGCTGGACTAAACACCTCCGGAGCGACGGGTGTCCGGGGGGCTGCGTGGTCCATCTGGGATCCGGAGAGCATCACGGCCAGGAATCCCACCTGCTGCACCCGGGCGTTCACGCTCCGAACAGGGGGACGTGAGAGCACCGCGAGGCTGAAGCGGAGCTGGCAGAGATCCGATGGCACCTCCCGACAGCTCCTTCCGAGCAAAGCTCCGGGCAGCGCGGCTGGCGAGGGAACAACGCTTCCTTCTTGCGGCAAAATGTCAGCGCGGCGAAGCCTGTTGTCCTGCTGCTGGGGAGCGACGCGGAGCCTCCGACATTCTTCGAAAGCGCGAGAGAGAAACCAGAACAGGCGGTGGCTTTGTGGCCGGCGGGCAGGGAGCACGCGCTGGAATTCGGCTCTGGCAGAGCAGATGGATGCCCCCTGCTCCCCCCCCCGGGCAGCCAGTCCTTATTTACACAAAGTCACGCAGTGCCAAGGGGAGATCGGGGGGCAAACGCTGCGGGTTTGCGCGGAGAGGCGCTGGATGGCAGGAGCTCAGACCTGGTTCTTGTCTCACCCGTGCAGATGCCTCATCTTCAGAGGCTCTGGGCAAAGCATCTCTCAAATTCCACCCTGATCTGACATGCTGTCCTACAAGATGTTTTGTCCTAACAGATACATTTCCACTATGAATCAGTGCTTAGGAGAAAGGAGGAGTGCGGAGAAGGAGAGCGCAGAGAAGGAGAGCAAGAGAAAACCTGCTTTTTTGAGAAAATTCTGCCAGAAAGAGGATCACAAGTGGCCATTCCCCCACCGTGAGAAGCCAAACTGAGACTTGCGGCTCCGCTCTGGAGGAGAACTGGGGATTTCTGCTGCTACTTGGAATGGCAAAAAACTTTTTCTTTACATTCTCCTGAAAAAAAGGTCAAAAATCATCCCCTTTTGCCTTAGTCTGAATGCATAATTTCAGAAAACCCTGAGTATTTTGCTCTAATTTTATATTACAAAATTTTCAGAACAAAACTCAGGACTTTCTGATATTGGCTGAATTTTCCCTTCCTGCATTTTTCTCCCCCCAAATGCTGTGAAGCCACCCTAATTTCATCTAGGATCTCACTTGGGTTAGAATGACATTTCCCAAGGGCTGGGTTTTTTTTGGGAGAACCACTTTCACAGATCGACTCAAGACATTCGATTTTCCTTTTGAATCAACACTGGGCTTTTCCTCCCATAATTCTGAGCCATGAAGTCCCTCTCGTCATCTCCAAGTGTTTCTCCACACGCAGGAAGGACAGAACATTCCCTCTGCGCCCCTGTAAAGCCAAGACGTGCTGTTTCTTAGCCCTGGCATTTGCACGCCTTAAGGAACGCAGAGGGACTGGGAGGTTTCCAGTAAAATTGCTTCCACTGCGGATTCCGGGCGATCTGTAACTGGAAGGCAGCGACCGCGCCAGTCCTGGTGCTGGCCCACAACGTGCCGTGACTCACCGCTCCACCGGGGTCTGCGGTCCCAGCGTGGAACCAGAGCCACCTTTGGGAGAGCGGGGGGAAGAGGTGGGAGATGAATTGGGAGGAGAGGTCCCCCCACTGCCTGCCATGTGCAAGAGCTTGGACATAAGGCTGCAAGGATCAAAGCTGGTCGCAGGAAGGTCCCTGCCTTCCTATCACCAGTAGCTGTCGGAAATCCAGGTGTCCAACCTCCTTGTACAGGCAGTGGAGACGGAACAGCATCTCCCAAGGGCTGTTTGGGCCAGGCTATCCTAAAGGGGAAGAGATGAGTCAGCCTCTGCAGATGACCAGCTCTTGCCAGCAACTGGAGAACGGCTTAACCCCAGCACGCCTGGATCTCTCTAGCTGGAGCCAGGCAGGATGAAATGCAGCTTGTGCCACCACGCTTGCCATTCCTGGCACCTGAAATGGAAGGTTTATACAGACTGGTGAGATTTAAAGACAGGACACCTCAAAGGGGCCTGCAAGAAAGATGGGGAGAGGCTGTTCAGGAGGGCCTGTTGTGATAGGACAAGGGGTAATGGTTTTAAAATAGAGGGAGGTAGATTCAGATTGGATATTAGGAAAAAATTTTTTACCATGAGAGTTGTAGAACACTGGAACAGGTTGCCCAGAGAGGTGGTGGATGCTCCATCCCTGGAGACGTTCAAGGCCAGGTTGGACAGACCTGAGCAACCTGATCTAGTTGGAGATATCCCTGTTCCTTGCAGGGGGGTTGGACTAGATGACCTTTGAAGGTCCCTTCCAGCCCTAACCATTCTATGATTCTAAGACCCAGAGATAGTTATCTTCAAAACTAGCACTAACTTCAGTACAGGGCTGTGGGCAACCTTGATGCCACGGAGGAGTGACAGCGGGGCTGCGGAAGGACACCCCCACGCAGACGTTCCTCCTGACTCACCTGGAGCAAGGTATGCCCTGGAGAAGGGGCAAGGTGAGCACTTACCACTTCTCACAGCA